ATGGGAGTATCTCCCTATTTTTTTTTTTTTTTTAAACAGCTTTCCCGTTTCACTGCCCTTGCCGTGGCTGCATTTCAGCAGTGTCATGATTCGTGGGTGTGTGCCGTCGGTCTATATAGATATGTATGGACCATATGGGGAGCCAGCAAGGGCTCTGGTATTTACGATGCCTAACACGCACTGGGAACGCCTGGGAGCTGTCACAACTACTGCAGTGGCAGGAGGTGGGAGGGAGAGACCCACCCGTACTATGTTCCCCTGCATCTGACCACGCTGGACTTGGCCCGTGGCCCCAGCAGCCCATGCCCCACTCTGAGAGCACCCCAAGGGGCAGGAAGTCCCCCAATCCCAGGGGCAGAGGGAAGAGAGGGAAGTCCAGACCTCACTCTGGTGCCACCATGTGGGGCAAGAGTCTCTCACCGCTGCACTGGGATCCTCTTGACTACGCTCCAGACACACCATGGGGCACCAGAGGCCCGTCTTCCTCCTGGGAAAGCAGCCGTCTCATGCCGCTAGCCCTGTAGCTCCACTAACAGCACGCTGTGCTGGGGCCTCCAGGCCTGGGGCTCAAACCCTGCCGCTACAGTTGCACACAATGGGGTTTATTTTTACCATTTACAGATAACCCAGGACATTCCAGAAAAAGGGGATGTCAAAAGAAGGATAGCCAGGCTGCAGGGCCAAGCACTTGAAACTCATGACAGGCCAGATATAGAGCTGCCCCCTTGTGTGCACGCACTATTTAATTACATGAGCACGCACTATTTCTTCCCCAGGATCAGGCCTCACTCAGTGCACAGCATAGGCACACCAAGGGGCAGAATTAAGGTGGCACAAACCACCATAAACCTGGCACTTCCCACCTGTCAAGTGCTTGACTGCGGCCACCTCTAGGGTGAAGGTTGGCTGCTATTAACCGTGCACACAACACTGCACAGTGCGTTCATGGCTCTGCCGTCCCTTGGTTCTCCTCTCACCTCTTTGATGGTACTTCCAGCATCCCTTGAGTAGGTCCTATCTCTGCTCCCGCTAGGCTTTGTCCTTGGTCCCCTGATCGTCTAGCTGCACATCTTACTCTGGAGCGGCCTCATCTGCTTGCACGGATTCAGCCCTGGTACCATATTGGTGCTGAGGACTCAGCCACGGGTTTGCCTCTGCCCAGCCCTGTGCCCGTCTCTCTGACAACACCTGAGTAGCCCACGGCCAGGCTACACTCAACACGGCTAAAACAGGGCTCCCTATCCTCCACAACCTACTCCCCACTTCTGCCATCACCACCGCGCTCCTCGCCATCTCGCAGGGCCAGGAACTTGAGAGCATTTTCAGCTCCTCCCTCCCACCCTAGCTGTTACTAGCTTTGCTGTTTCTCCCTCCAGGAGCCTTCCCTTCCATCCCAGCAGCTCAGACATGTCCCTGCCCTGGGCATATCCCACTGTGATTACTGCAGCTTCCTCTCCCACCCGATTCCCTCATCCCTCTCCTCTTTGAATCCTTCCCGTGACTCCCCCTTGCCTTGAGCATCGAGCTCAGCGGCTCATCCGCTCCGTCTAGGCGATGCACAGCTCGGCCTGCACCTCCTGGCACATCCTACCTTGTACTCTTTGTGCTGGCAATGATTTTATCCCCCTTCTTCCTTCTCCTACCCATGGCTTTGTGCCTCCTTCCATCATGCTCCTGTGCCCTGACCAAACTCCCAGTCCTAGTGCACCAGGCCTCTTGCTCTTTCAAACCTGTCCTAACGAATCAATTCTGCCATGAGACCAGAGACATAGGTCAGGAAAAATCCCTCTCCAACTCAGTGACATGTCTGGGGAAGATGAAGATGAAGAAGAATAGCTAACAGCACCACGGGCTATGCAGAGTGTCTTCTCCTCTCTGTGTCAGTTCCTCGGACAGGGACTGTTTTTATCCGCTTCTTGAAACTCATGACATGCCAGATACAGAGCTGCCCCCTTGTGTGCACGCACCAGGAGACGGCCTTTAGTTACATGAGCACGCACTATTTCTTCCCCAGGATCATACCTCACTCAGTGCACAGCGCCTGGCACGCTGGCAAGAATGAGGAACATGCTCCAAGAAATGGCAAAGTGTGCAAAGGTTTTCAGAGGGGACTGGTAGCCAAAATCCCAGAGCACACATGCATTTGTGTTTCTATCCTGGGCAGCAACTGGAAGGTTGTAGTCACTGTCCGTGAAATTAACCTGCTGCTTTGAGACATTTTTACTTTTGGACTCTGTTATCTGGGTTTGGATAAAGGCTCCTTCCTGCTTCAGTAACAGAAAGCCAGGCACACACACACACACACTAGCAGCAACCGCACTCTGATAGATTCAGTCATTCGTAAGGGCAGTCTAATCCCCTTGGAGAGAAGGAGCGAGAGACCGCCATCCTTTCCAACACCTGGGAGATGCTGGGACAGGACGGTACTTCGATAGCTAAATGGATAACTCCAGGAAGGTACTGCTGTAAGAAGACAGGATTGCAGCTAATCTCACGTGTAAGGAGCAAACAGAACTGGAGGCCAGGCTCACAGAGGTCCAAGGGAGTTCAGTGGGACCAGGAGTGGGTCCAGTATCTACACAATAACACCTGTGGCTATCGCCAGCCGGTCCTGCAGTGAGTGGCACCTCCACAGACACCCTGCACGGCTCAGCAGATGCACTCGCACGCACGCTGCCTGGTCAGAGCGTTCACAGACTCTCAGGATTCCCGGAGTTAGCTCACGGCACGCAGGCCGTGCTGGGCGGACGGAGCCCCTCCACTCACCAAGTGCTGCTCGGGCTGTTGGAACAGCCAGCTGCCAGGCCGGCGCAAGCCAAGTCCCACCAGATGTTTCTGAGGGAGGGCTGGATAAAAGCATGCGGGGCTCAGGGCCCTTAGCTCTACACAGCTCCTTTCCTCCACCACAGGGCTGGCGCGGAGAGCTTTCCTCCCAGCTGCCGCCCTCCTCCCCACCCATTCACGTCTCACGCAGGAGTCCGTAGAGGCTGCGTGACTGCCCAGTGCACGGTCCTCCCCTCAGAGCTGTGCCGTGCACCGAGAGGCAGTTGTAGGAGCTAAGCATGGCTGGAAGTGAGAGGGAAAACCAACCATTCAACCAAACCCGGCCCTGGCCGGCAGCGCTGAGTGGCCACGGACCTGGATCCAAGCCCAGGCACTCAGGGAGCAGCTAGGAAGGGGCGATTTGGTGCACAAGGAACATGGGAGAAGACTGCATCTGGCAGCCCGCTGGAGACGGGGGCCGCCTGGCACGTTAGCAGCAAGTTACCCACAAGCCCATTATCTCCGGGTCTCCTGCCACTGCTGTATCTGTCCCTGGCGAGCCCTCGCCCATAACTGCAGGCCCAGCTCCCAGGAGCAGATGCACAGCAGAGCTCGCAGCTGACACAGGTTCGATGTGCGCCTGGCCCTGTCCCCCTGCACGTGGTTTGTCCTGTGACTGTTTCCAGTGGTTCTATCCACCCACAGTGGCTACAGCCCCACACAGCAGCACACAGATGTCCACAAGTACAGCCCGGCAGACTGCATTGTGCAGGGCCTCGAGGGGTTGGGAGGAGATGGGCCACCTGGGACTGCTCGCTGGCCCGATGGAGGGTCCCATGGGGCGAGGCGTGGTCTTACTATGTCCTGGGCATGTCTTTGGGAGCGTCCCTGGGTCAGTTTGCTGCTCGGGGAGCCTCACGGCCATGCGAATACCAGCCCCTGGCAGAAGCGCACATCTGTCCCTAGCATTGTACTCTCCCTGGCGTGGGGACAGCCCTTTCCTGAACGTCTGGGAGACATAGGGCACTTACCGAGCACGCCTGCAAACAACCCACCCCTAACAACAACAACGGGTCTGGGCGTCCGCTTTGCGGTGTGTATGTGCATGCAGACACGTGTGTGTATGCGTGTGTATGTCTGCAGGTGTGTGTTTGTTCAGACAGATGGTGATTACCGGGGGGAGGGGAGTTCACGTACACACTTCCGTGTTCTTAACCGAGTTCCATTTTCAAAGAGCTGTTTTGTGACCTGCCCCAAGCCGGCCCTGGGTCAGATCCGGGACCGTCTGAGCACCACCGCTGCTGCCCTCTGGCCTGCCTAGGTCCAGGGCGGGGGACTGAGAGATGACCCTGCCTGCTCTCACTGACGCACCCAGCTGCCATGACGAGTGCCTCACCTTCCGCCCGCCCTTGCCCTGACACGGCTCCAACGGACCCGGAGCAGGTGGAGATGGTCACAAGACACGCTGAGCACTGGTGTGATCTGACCAGTACTGGGAGCACCTCTGGCATGTCAGCCTGGACAGGGCGAGTTTACAAAGGCACCGATGCTGGGATCAGCAAAATTCCCGAGTGCAGCAGGGGCTTGCCCAGATGGCGCCTTTCCTAAGCTAGACAAGGAGGGTACGGGGCAGAGAAGGAGACCAGCGCAGTGGGTGAGCTGCGGTTCATTTGCACGTCTTACCTGTCTCTGAGGACCGGTCGGTTCGGACTCCCGTCTGTGCTGTCGCAGAGCTGGTGCTGAGTGTAACGATAACTGGGCCGGGCTTCCTGGCTGCTGTTCGGGCCTGGTGTCCGATACCGTTTGACAGTGTCCTTCGTGCCTGTGTGAACTGTCCTCCTCCGTCACAGGCTGCATCCCCCATGTTCTCCCTTCGTGGACCTTCGGCCGGACGGCGGCTTCTGCCCCCAATCGCCTCCTCTCCTCGCCCTCTTCAATCGGCCTAAGCTCCTCGGGCTCTTCGTCTGTAGTTCCAGAAGTGCTCGGCTCAGCCCCCGGGTGAAAGTCCTTCAGCTCTGTCTCTTTATCAATGATAACCCACTCCTTGCTATCAAAGTCCTCCTCCTCCGCCAGCGGCACGGAGCGGAAAGCATTGCTGAGGGCCTCGTGCTCCACGGACGCAGACACATCCATCCTGCCGCTCGCCTGACGGTCTACTTGGCCAGTGTCGATGGACAGCATCTGTGCTGGTTGGGAGGAACACACCAGCCGGGAAGGGGAACAAGGTAAGTCCACGCGAGATCTGAAAACAAGACAAAGAAACCAAGATTTGAGCCAAGATTTAGGATCACAAGGACATTAGGAGCCAACACATAACCCATGTGGTCTCTTAGAAAACCCATGTGATCCCTTCCCAATTCTCTGCCATACACCCAAGCAATATATAACCCAGCTTAACCCAAAACATGTAACTAGAACCTACAATGATATAAAGAAATCCCCTCCAAATTGCTTTAGGATTAGGGCCAACTTCATGTCTTTTCCTTTTAAATGACTACAAGGAGAATATGGGAGTTACACACCACTGGGAAACACCCCTTCAGGTTGCTCTCCTTCTGGTCAGTCTGTTTACAGGAGCACCGTAGTTTCCTGGCCCCATGCTTCCTGTAACCTGATGACCAGTCCTCTAACCCAGACTACAAAAGTGCCTTGAAGACAGAGGGAATACTAGATGCTCATTTCATCAGGGCTTTTTACAGCCTTCCCAGAGGAGCAGTGGGGCAAAAAAACCTAACTGGCTTCAAGATTGAGCTTGACAAGTTTATGGAGGGGATGGTCTGATCATAGAATCATAGAATATCAGGGTTCGAAGGGACCTCAGGAGGTCATCTAGTCCAACCCCCTGCTCAGAGCAAGACCAACCCCAACTAATGGGACTGTCTACAATGGCATGTGGCCCATCGGCAACTGCCAGTAGCAAAAATCCCCAACTGCTGGAGTCGGGACACTGGATGGGCAGGACTCTGAGTTACTACAGAGAATTCTTTCCCAGATATCTGTCTGGCAGGTCTTGCCCACGTGTTCAGGGTCTAACTGATTGCCATATTTGGGGTCAGGAAAGAATTTCCCCCCGGGTCAGATTGGCAGAAATCCTGGGGGGGGGGGGGTGTGCCTTTCTCTGCAGCATGGGGCACGGGTCACTTGCAGGTTTAAACTAGTGTCAGTGGAGGATTCTCTATAACTTGAAGTCTTTAAACCATGATTTGAGGACTACAGTAACTCAGTCGGAGGTTATGGTCTACTACAGCAGTGGGTGGGCGAGGTCTGTGGCCTGCAGTGTGCAGGAGGTCAGACTAGATGATCATGATGGTCCCTTCTGATCTTAAAGTCTATGAGAGTTTGACTTCAGGTGCACATGCGCCCCATGCATGTTTGATCAGAGATTTTCAGTAGCAGTGCTCATTTGGCCCGCATATGCACCCTACACATCCTCATACCCTACACTGAGACTATCTAGGGCTGCATGGGTGAACTCCCCTCAGTTCTTTCTCCACCCCAAAGTCCCTCAGAGGAAACTCTAAAGCAAAGGGAAAGAAGGCTGGGTAGTGGAGCACCCACAGGGGGGACACATCTCAAAGAACTCCAGTTACTGTGTAGGGCAAGTAAATGGAGGTTACTTATCTGTAACTGGAGGGTCTTCAAGATGTGTGGCCCCTATCTGTCTTCCACATGTGACTACGCATGCGCACCATGAGCCTGAGTCTGGAGATTTTTAGTAGCAGTGTCCGTTGGTCCCTATGTCTAGTTCACACATGGGAGATTTGCAAGCAACAGTCAAACAGAAGGTGGGTGCGAGGGCACAGAAGTGATGGCTGACTGGAATACTGCCATCCCCACAGCTGTGTCTGTCGTAGAAGACTGGACCAAAGCGTAAATGATCAAGGAGCTCCAGGTAGCTGCCCGACATATCTCCAGTAAAGGTACGTCTCTCAGACATGCAGCAAAGGTTGCTTGTGCTCTGATGGAATGAGACCTCACTCCCTCCAGGAGAGGGATGCGAGCTAGTTGGTAGCAAAGGATAATGCAGCCAGAGATCCATTTAAAAAGTCTCTGTGCAAATAGAGCTTGACACCTTGATTTCTCTGCTATTGACACAAAAAGTCTAGGCATCTTTCTAAGTGCTTTTGTTCTCTGTAGATAAAAGGCCAGCACTCTTCAGACATCTAGAGAATGAAGCGGCCTTTCCTTATCAGACTCATGTAGTTTTGGAAAAAAAAATTGGTAAGTGGGTTCTTTCTCTCATGTGCAACTCTGAAATTACTTTAGGGATGAATTCCAGGTGGGGGTGAAGGGAGATCTTTCCTTTATGAAAGTATATATGGTAGGTCTGCCATGAGTGCTCCTAGTTCACTGATTCTTCTAGCTGTTGTGATGGCAACTAGGAAGGCAACTTTCACCGAGAGGTGGGACACAGAGCATGTGGCTAAAGGTTCGATGGGAGGTCTGGTGAGAGATGAATGAATGAGGTTGAGGTCCCATTGAGGGGTTGGCTTCACTAATGGTGGGAAGGATCTAAGAAGTCCCTTCAGGATGTAGGTGTGAGGAAAGGAGTCCCCACTCAAACTTTCTACAAGTTTTGTCCCCCAGACAAGAGAGGCTAGAACTCTGGACAGAATTATTACTTTGGCAATGATGCTGACTTTTTCTGGTGAGGAGACTGGCGGAAGCCAGGTTTGACAGCAATAGAGATGGAGCCTGGCAAATGGCCTCATGTGTGTGCATGAGACCTTGTGGCCAAGGAAGGAGAAGCAACCTTTGGACTACTGCAGTCCAAGGTCTGAGGGTGACCTGGTTTATGGGGTCTCCTTGGCATGGAATCTTTTGTTAGGTAAATAGGCTCTTGCTGCAGTCAAGTCCAAGGTCACTTCTATGAAATTTATGGACCTAGTGCGGGGGGACTCTGAATTGGTAAGGTCTTGACCAACGAGGAACCCGAGGAACCTTCTGTGACCTGGGTGAATGTGCATGTGAAAGTATGCGTCTTCCACATTGAGAGCCACAAACCATGTGCCCTCTTCCAGAGAGGGAAATATTGATGCCAATGTGATAATTCAGTCAAAAACCAGTCGGAGAACACTTCAGCCTCCCTGGTTACTCAATTACAGACCTAAAAGTCGCAATTCTCCAACAAAATAACTTCAAAAACAGACTCCAACGAGAAACTGCAGAACTGGACACCATTAAATTAGGCTTGAATAAAGACTGGGAGTAGATGGGTCATTACACAAAGTAAAAACTATTTCCCCATGCTAATTTTTCCCCCCTACTGTTACTCACACCTTCTTGTCAACTGTTGGAAATGGGCCATCCTGATTATCACTACAAAAGTTTTCTCCTGCTGATAATAGACCACCTTAATTGATTAGTCTCGTTACACTTGGTATGGCAACACCCATTTTTTCACGTCCTCTGTGTATATATATCTTCCTACTGTATTTTCCACTGCATGCATCCGATGGGCTTTTAGCCCACGAAAGCTTATGCCCAAATAAATGTGTTAGTCTCTAAGGTGCAACAAGTACTCCTGTTCTTTATGTCTGAATCCTGGTGATCCCACACGTCGTTGTGTCATCAGCGGGTTCAGATTTCTATCCAAGCCACACCAGAACGGCCCCAGTGCTGAACTTCAAGGCACGCTCATTTCCTACTTCTACCCTAAACTGCTCCACTTCCTCATCACGGCCACTGTGGCCTCGTTCCCCACGGATCTCACACCAGGTTTTCCTGTGGCCTTTGCCACTTGAAGTCAGGGCTTGCGCTCCAGATTCCCGGTGTGCTGTGCGCACACACAAGCACGCTTTTCTGCGCTCCCCCAGCCAGGAGGTGAACTGGTGAAACGAGCACGTTCAGGGACAGCAAGGTAAACCCCAGTCTAGGTGTGTCCCATTTAACTCTCAGAGTGGTGGGGCATATTTGTGTGGCTAGTGGTCCACTCCCACCTCCCTCCTGCTGCCAGCCATGGGCTGGGAACACTCTCCAGTTGCTGGACTCACCTTTGCCTTCCTCTAACAAACCTCCTGCCCTTACAGCTGCGACTCCCTGCCCCCACCAGCGACTGACCCCCATCCCCCCTTCCTGTTACCAAGCCTCCAGCAACCCCTCTGCACACCTGTCCTGCCATCCCAGAGCTTCTAACCTCTCCCCCCGAAGCCACCCTCCTACTGTGACTCTCAAGAATGGCCCGGCCCTCGATTGCCAGCCCTTCGGACCCACTGAGTTTCCAGCCCGGAGAGCGGAAGCATGTTGAGTGTAAAAGAGCTGGCATCATCCGGGGCTTGTTTCTCAATGCCAGCAAGATGTCAGCTAGCAAACCAGCCAGGCGTCCTCCGCACAAACGTCTCCAGGCTTCACAAGAGAGACTTGGCGGCTTTATAGAGGGGCGAAGAAGAGGAGGAGCCTACGTAGGCAGCCCCTGCCTAGCGTGTCATGCCAATAACAGTACCGACAGCCAGAGAGAAACTGAGGCTGAAGAAAAATACTTTACAATATGTAACAAATCCAGCTACACCCCCTTCATTTCCCAGGGCATAGCAGAAAGGGATGCTGTGGTGTGTGAGCAAACCTTCTCTCGTGTAGATCTGCTTTGCCATCGGCAGTGGACAGGCGCTCCGACTCAGGGCTGTTCACACGACGGTATCTCAGAGAGCGCACTTGAGTGGTAGGGGAGTCTGGAGGTGCCCGTATCGGGGAGCTGGGGCAGACACCACTTCTCTGTTCCTCTTCCATCATGCACTGGGTCTGTATGGGGGAAAAACACAGAGAACATCAAGGAGCTGATGGCAGACACGGGGGAGAACCCAGCACGGCCCACCACCTGGGACGCTCGCTCTGGGTTTGAATCTCCCCCGTCTCTTCCTTCCAGAACAATACAGTCACAGCTGTCCTCTCACGGCCTGTGCTGGCTGTGCTCAGAGGAACGCAGGGGCTTGTCAACACAAAAGCTATTTCACATGAAGGAAGGGTGTCCTGGAATAACACCGTGTGTGGACCCTCTTACTTCAGACTAAGAGGGTCTTTTCTGGCTCAGCTTCATGCACGTCCTCAACCGAATCTATTCGTGTGTTTGGAGTGAACTCGCTTTAAAAAAACCGCTCTTGCAGCAGCTAAGGGAGTCGAGGTGGGCAAGGGAGAATCATCTCTGTCACACTGCCTGCCCGGGACCCCGGCGTGGCTGCCCAGAGCCTGCTCCTGTACCAGGGCGCTTTTCTGGCAGGGGCTGGGTGTTATGTAGTCCCTCGTCTTCTGGCAGTGCTCAGGGCCCACGTCTGACCTGGGCCCTGTTGTGCTGGCAGCAGATGGTCCCTGCCCCACAGAATTTACCATCGACACAAGACCTGAGTGTAACAAGCAGGAGGGAACTGGGGAGGGAGGACAAGAGGAGTACAAAGGTTGTCGTGCTGGAACTGTACAGCAGATAATGCCCCCCAGAGTGGATGCGGCTACACCGGGTAACGGTGTGTTACACTGGTGTAGCTATTTCTGTAGAGGAATGGGAATAAATCAGATTGGGATAAGGCACCTTTTTAACAGCATACCTGCGTCCACAGTTGAGGTGGGACTGGTATGACCCATCAGCGAAAAAAAGCCCCCTAAGAGACAGTGGTACAAACTGTGTGTGTGCAGAGCAGGTCTGACCGTGGACATATGCCAGGGGATAGAGATCATTTAGACTGTGTGTGAAACGAAGAGCTAAATAATGAACCTGCCATCCCTGCTGAGCATCAGCCCAGGATTGGCTGGCGATTTCCTGCAGCGATGACAGGAGAAGCAGGTCTGGAGGAGATGGCAGTGATTTCATGGGCTAGAGTTGCAAAGGGCTGTAGGCCACGGAGCCTGATGCAGCGGAGAAAGGGAGGCCAATGGGAGGCTTTGGTCAGAGTAACGGCCGACGGGGAAGCAGATCTCAGCCCAGGGTTTTGCATAGCTTGGAAGGGAGCAGGGAGGCCAGAGGCAGGTGGCTGCAGTACTGAAGGGGGGAGCTGCAGAGGGCCTGGCTGGGAGAGAGAGAAAGGGTTGGATCTGAGAGATGTGGAGAACAGTGGCAAGGTCTGGCTGGTGCCTGAACGGGGGAGACAAGAGTGGGGAGTCAGAGCAGCCCCAGGGCTGCAGGACAGGGTGCCCAGGAGAACAGCGGTGGTGTCAGCAGTGGTGCAGACAGCAGCGGAGAAGGGAGAGCTTCCGACGCTGCCACAGCGTTCAGTCTGGTGCTGAAGCAACACAGGAAGCTGGGACTGAGCCTGGAAGCAGCGACGCCGCTGGGAGCTTACTTATAGTGAGCAGGAGCAGCTCCTCCTGCCCAGGGGCTGAGGACTCATCTGCAAAGCTCTGCTGCCGTGTCCTTTCGTCTGAAAACATGCAGCATCCAGCTACAGCCTCTGGAATGGGATGGGTCACTGGATGAGTCCCTGTTCTGTTCATTCCCTCTGGGCACCTGGCATTGGCCACTGTCGGTAGACAGGGTAGCGGGCTAGATGGATCTTTGGTCTGACCCCGTGTGGCCGTTCTTATGTTCTCTGACAGAAAGAAAAGGAGAGGCCTGAGTTTCGTGGGGCGGGATGATATGCCCCCAACCCTGCTTGGTGTCAAGCAACTGCAATTTTTGTTGACGTCCCTGGGAGCTCCAGGGTTCTCTGGGAGGGAGGTCCTCAACTGCTTCTCCTGGAAACTGGCAAGAAACAACAGCCCACTCAGACTGATGGACGGTCCCCCTGGTCAGACTGGGGCTCCTGAAGAGGCCTCTCTTATCTGTGGGTGACCTTCCGGCATGGCTCACCAGTGCTCTGGCATTCAGCACTGTCAAGATGTACCATTACTGTGCAGAAAGGAGGTCTGAATTCCCCCTTTGACATGAAGGCTCCTGGTGTAACTCACATCTATCTCTGAAGGAAATCAGACTGGCATGATAGGGGAAGCCGAGTTTTCCAGGCCCAGTACCTTGTAGGTACCATCCAGCGGGAATACAGAGAATGACGAGCAAAAGAAACAGTCGGGAAGGAATGTCTATGGCTGCCAACTGGAGCAGTCCAGAGAGGGAAATGAGACCAGCAGCACTTGCTCCAACACTAACATTTTGACATAACTCCTGCATGAGCCAAAATGAGCACCCGCAAGGAAAATCACCAAGTGCCGGGGCTCTCAGGGGCGTCTCAGGCCCGAATGAGAAGCTGCAGTATATTTGGTGGCTCTCAAGAACAGAAAAAGCTGAGGTGACCTTTGGAACCAGGAGTTACAGATTTTTGTGGAATATGGTTTCCACAATACGGACATAAGAATGTAAGACATGATGGAAACAAAGCTTCCCCACTCTAGTGTATGATCCTGTCTCCACTACACACCAGTCTCTAAAGGGAACATGCCAGTCCACAATACTTGTATCCAAGAGTTTTAAATGAGTTGGCTGTGATGCTCTCCAGACTAGTGATGTTAATTTTAAATAAATCCTAGAATACTAAGTAGCTCCAGAGGCCTGGAAGAAAGCTAATGCCGTGCCAATATATAAAAGGCATGCATGGAATGACCCGGGTAACGACGGGGCAGTTAGCCTGCCATTGATTCCAGGCACAGCCATGAAAAGGTTGATATGAGTTTCAATCCACAAAGACCTAAAGGATGGGAATATAATCCATGTCAATCAACAGGCCTTCGTGGAAAAAATGAACTTGATATCATTCTTTGACAAGATCACAAGTCCAGTTGATAAAGATAACCATGTTGACATTATATACTTGGACTTAGTACCACATGACACTCCGATTAAAAAATTAGCACTAAAAATCAGTATGGCACATATGAAATGGGTGACAAACTGGCTGACAGATCTCAAACCTAACTGTTAATGTGGAATCATCATCCAATGAGAGAGTTTCTAGTGGGGTCCTGCCGGAACTGGTTCTTGGTCCAAAAATATTTGGCATTTTTATTAATGATCTGGAAAAAAATATAAAAGCCTTGGTGATGAACAGATGACGAAAGATTGGTGGGCTGCTAAATCACGATGGGAACAGGTCACTGACACAGAGTGATCTGGACCACTTGATGAGACGGCAGTAATTAAGTAATATGTGTTTTTAAACAACAAAATTCAAGGTCATTCATCTAGAAGCAAGGAATGCAGGTCACATTTACTAGATGGGGGCTCTGTCTGGGAAAGCAGTGATTAAAGGTCTTTGGGATCCTGGGGAAAACCAAGTGGACATGAGCTCCCAGTGCAATGCTGTGGCATAAGGCTAACATGAAGGAATATTGAGTGGGAGTAGGGAGGTGATATTACCTCACTGGTGAGACCACTGCCAGGTACTGGGCCCATTTCTGGTTTCAAAAGGGATGCTGAAAAACTCGAAGTGCAATTCAGAGAAGAGCAACAAGGATGATTTGAGGTGTGGAAAACCTGCCTAGCAGTGAGAAACTTACAGAGCTCAAGCTATGCAGCTTATCCAAGAGAAGACAAAGAGGTGACTTGATCTTGGTTTATAAGTACCTACAAGGGAAGAAGATGTCTCATACTAAAGCAGCTTCCCAAGGGATGGGGCAAATCTTCCAAAATGGGATGTCTCAAAGACACACATTAGTTCAACCACAAGTTTTTAGGCTAGACAGCATCACACATGTAGCAGGGAGAAAGAATTCCCTCAGGGCAGCAGCCACTGGGTGAGGTTCTCTGCCTGTTATACAGGAGGTCAGACCAAATGGTCACAGTGGTCCCTTCTGGTTTTAAATCTATGGCCTGAGTTGGGCACGTACATCTCACTGCCGGACAAGAGGAAGGTTCCTTACTTTGCTGATGCTGATCCTGAGTTTGTTGCGGTTCACGTCCGTCTCTTCCCAAACCTCGGTCTCGTTGAAGGCCATGTTAGGAGCCTGGCCCAGCCCTTCCACTGGCCGGCCTGGCAGGATCGGAGGAGCATTCTCTTGGTCGCTCAAGTGTTCACCCTGTAGGACATCTTCAGTGTTCTCACGCAGCAAGTCCCCAGGAACTGGAGTGACGTTAACCACCCTACGGGGGACATCAAAACAGGACAACGACTCTGATCACAGAGAGAACCAGGACTCTGATATATACTGCACCATGGACCTGCCTCAGCGCCCCATGCCATATGTAGGAGCTGCCAGGCTGGCTGCATCAGGGGTCGTAACCTTTCCCAGGCCTGCAACCCATGCCACAACAAGTTCACGAAATTCCTCCCCTCTAGCAACAAACAAAGGAAGGGAGTCCCCCAGACCTATACATGACCTCTTGGGAGTCACAACCTCCAGGCTGAGAACCCCTGCTTCAGAGAAGGTGCTGGACTCCCCAGAATGGACAATTAGGGAATAGCCTGCTGTAGGGGAAGAGTCCCCCTACCCTCAAGCCAATGGGGCTCCATAAACCTTACCCATGTTGTCCTACCCAGTGGGACAGAGCAGGTGCTCGTCGTCCAGGTATGACAGGACTCTCACAAGCACCTAGGTGACTTCAGAGAAAATTCCAGTTGCCTCCTCTTGGATTGTGCTGCTAAACCACTCAGAAGATTCTAAACATCCCACCCGCACATGTCTATTCAAAGCAAGTGTCAGACAGGACCGAGTCAGGGTCCACCTACTCCAGTCTCCTGTCTTGGACAGGGGTCGCTACTGATGATCCAGCGGAAAGCGAAGGAATCCTGAAGAGGCAGATGTGGGCTAATCTACCCACATGTCAGGTTTTACCCTGATCTCTAACAGGTAGAGATCGGCTTAAACCCCAGAATACAAGATTTAATATCCCTGCCAGAACATGTTAGCACTCGCTATTAGAACGCTAGATATTCTTGCCACCCATATAAATATCCAATCTCTTTCATCTGACAACCTCCCAGCCTCTGCGACTTCCTGTGATGAGGAGTTCGAGGTTAATCACATTCTGTGAAAAAACATTTCCTTTTATCGGTCATGAATTTGCCACCTTTCAATTTCACTGACTGTCCCCTATCCTAATGCTGTGAGGCAGGGAGAAGAGAACGTCCCACCCCCCTTTTCTGAGCCCTTCATTGCTCTAACAACTGTTGTCACAGCCCCTCTGATTCACCACCTTGCTAAAACAGGCAATCCCAATCTTTTCAATCTCCCGTCGGAGGAGTTTTTCCAGGCCATTTTTAAATATCTAAATAGCTTTGTCCCAGGGTCACGGACCCCATTGGAGAAAGCCAGATACCACATAATGTGTATCAGCACAGGCTCGCTCTGGCGAGCACCAGGGACCGTGTAATGTGCACTGGCACAACGGCTAGTGCCACGCACCACGTCATGTGCAGCACCCTCCTAATGTAACAGCGTAACCAGGGGAACGTTCCCAGTAGAACATTTAAGGTGATAACAACAAGACAAATGCTCGGGATCCAGGTGCAGTCCAGTGACTTAGGCACACCGTATTATACACACTTCATCTCTACAGCCAAACGAACAACGCTTCTGTACCTAATCCTATTGTCCAGGGCAATCATGGCCTGTGTCCCTTCCAGTGACTCTCCCTTGGCCCAGTGCTTGCTGGCAGCATGACTGGTGTGACCATAACACTCACCCAAACATGGCGGCTGTCTGCCTGGTGTTCTGCTGTGGTGGCGTGGAGGTGCTTGTCGACAATAAAATGTCCGTTCCAGCTTTCTCCCAGTCAAAGGCCTCATTCTCAGTAATGCCTCGTTCCTTCATGCTGTTCTCAAACACCGACATGATCAGCTAGAAGAATAAACATAGCAACAAGGAGGAAGGTATAGGAGCTGTAACAGCTGACAGCTGCTTTAAAGAATGCCTGAAACGCAGCTTGTTCAAACTCACAATTTCCATTTCATGGGGATTTCTGACCTTTTGAAATTTATTTTAGTTCAGAATCAGAACAAAAAACTGAATTTTTTAAAAATTTCCTGTGAAACGGAAATTCTGAAATAATTCAGTTTTGAACATTTAATTTCAGAAAAAATTCCAAATTTTGTTTCAAAACAAACTGTTAATTTTTTCATTTTTATTTTATAGTTTTGACATGATTTCATGACATCGGCAGTAGTGCATGTGACATCACATCATAACATCAACGAATAGTCAAAAGATACTATTTTGTTTTTGTTTTATTTCATTAAAAATAGCATTAATGACAGCTGCTACTTAGTACACACTGAAACCTCCTTATTTTCTAATCTAGCTCAAAGTGGTTCCTGTTTGTGTTGTAATGAAACAATCTGACACTGACACTTGGATCTAGACAATGAGATAAACGCTGAGTGTGCTAATTAGAGGAGCAGCTGTTTTCAATTTTCTGGAGTTACCCGGGAATCATTTCTCGAGAAGATTGAGAACAGCTGCTCCTCTTATTACAATACTGAGTGCTTACCTTCTTTTCTTGTTGAAAGTATAAAAATAGACTTTAGCTATATTATGACTAACATCATAAAATGACGTTACTGGTAAAAGTGTATAATATGACACGCCCCGTCCTATGATAACATGCTATGTCTTCTTATGCATTACTACTATATGTCATGAAACAATGTAAAATACTAGATAGAAATAGTATAAAAGTGAAAAACATAACATCAAATACATTTCAAATGGAAATGTTTTGAAACTAAATTTCAAACATTTTCCAGAACAAACATTTGGAAACTATTTTTTTTAAATGTCTCTCCCCTACCATCCCTCCCCCACACACAGCGGAAATGATTTTATTAAAAATTCTGCATTTGTCAAACATTTTCTGCCAGAAAACTTTTGATGAAAATCTTCTGACCAGCTCCAGTTGGTACCTCTTTCTCCCGTATCACAGGCCTTCGCGTAGCTAAGGTTCTATCAGCCTGTCTCCAGAAAGCTGAACTTTCAGCCTGTTCTAAAAGCCACGTCCCCTCTCAGCTCAGCCTGGAAATGGGAATGCCCAGTTGGGGCTCCAAGTGGAGTTTATGGGGCACATTTAGGATCATTTGGTAACATGTCTCCTGAGACACAGCACTGCCAAACATGACCTCTTTTACAAATTGTAACTTTTTATAATGCTTTTTTGAGTGGCGATAGGGGGAAATAATGGGTAAGAGCCATAAAGCTAATATTGGGAGGATGCCCCAGCCTAGATCTAGTTACTGGACTTTGTAGGTGATGCCCTGGAGTGGCAGGGTGGGCTGCGGAGAGCAATGCATGGAACACCAGCACTGAGTACAGACCCTTGAGACAGAGCCCTTCCATACAAACTATCCAGTCACCTAGGGGAAGGTGACCTGGCCTAGGAGCTAGACAGATATGAGTGCAAGTCTTCTCTTCCGCTGACTGATGTTAGTACTGCTGTATACTTAATATTAACCAAGACCTTCCAGCCTTACCCTCCAGGGGGAGGATCCCTCATTCTCAGCTCAGGTAACGGAGAAGTTGCTCACGTAGAAAAGAAAACGTGCCTGCTGGCAGAGCTGGGCCGAGACCCCAGGTCTCCCATACAGCCGCCCAAGGTGCGGTCACTCAGCTGCCCTCCCTTTGGAAGTAAAGGGGCAGAATGCACGGCTTTGTCTCTGCTGCCCGCAGCCTGTGAGATACCATGCTGAATTGCCTAGCAAAGAGTCACCTATGGTGGCAGCTCAGGGCAGGGAGTGAGACAGTAGCTGCAGGAGGGGGAAGGATGGTCTCTGTAAGGCAATGGATGGAGGCCTGGACACCTGGGGGTTGGCCTGGGCCCTGGCACAGCCCGCCCGCCTGGTGCTGGGTGAGTCAATTACACGACAGGGGCTGGGGGCACTTAGCTGTCTGTGGTCAGTGTGGGGAGCCCTCCCCCTGCCAGAGCACCAGGATGGACTGTGATTAACACTCTGGACGAGGACTCAGGGTTCAATCCCTGGTCTGCCAGTGCCTTCCTGCATGCCCTTGGCCAAGTCACTTCATCTCGGTGGGATGGAGCCACCAAATCTGCAGGCTGGTTCACCCCTCCAGGGGGTTGCATTGGTTTAACGAAATAAACTTCAAAAGCGATGTAAGTTAAACGGGTGCAACTTTCCCATGTAGCCAAGGCCTAAGGGACAGATTAGTTTTCCCTTCCTTTCGAAGAACGGTGCCAAGAATAGAAAATAAATGTTACGGAGAGAACATCAGACATTGCTTCCCAAGGCTGTCCCTCTCCCCACTGGCTGCCTAAAACATCTTAAAAGCTAGGAAAAGAAAGTGTGCACGTTTTTAACCTTGATTTGATTAAACCATGCCGCTGGTTTGCTGCTGCGTCCCTAGAGCCTGGAGCTCAGCTCTCCTGCAGACCAGATGTGTGCATACCTGCCCGGCAGGATTGCACGGTGGGGCTCATTCTGCAGGCAGGGCCCATGGGACGCCAAAGGAAGACACGCATATGCAGAGTAGCCAGCTACTGGCAGCGGACGTGTGAACATGCTTAGCTCAGACACAGCTGCTTGAGGAACATAACCTGGATTTTCCAAGAGGGTGATTATGTACCCTACAGGCCCGACTGTCACTATGCCATGTAGGACGGATGTTTTCATTGCCTTTAAAAGACTGCTGACAACGTTCAAACAGCTCTCACGCCACCGAGGTTCATGGCGATGGGTCTGTCTGCCTCAGAGGTTGGGGCTTTTTGTTTGATGGGGTGGGAGGAGAGAGGAAAAAACTCGGAAGTGACAAACCACCCTATGACCCTGCCTCTCTCCGGCTTCGCAGGAATGGCCTCTCCACCTGTGAAATCAAAGCAGCCCTCCCCAGTGACATGCACCAAGCTCTCCACAAGGCCAGTCTCTTACCTGATAATCGGGCTTGGTGAAGTAGTCCAGGTTCGCAATGTGATCCAGAAAGAGGTGGAATTCAGACGGCATGTGTTTTAGCAGCATTCGATGCTCATACTTCTCTTTGATCATGCCAACTTGCTCCTGCAGAAAGGGAAATACACCAGATCCCCCCATCACTCTCCTGGCTGCACACTCCTAACCCCTCAGCCTTAGCCCGTCTGCAGTGGGCAGCACAGACCCTTCAGGAGCCCCCAGGGTCTTGCTTACACACACTCCCTAGCAAAGTGAGGCTGATCTGTTCATGCGGGAAAGCTGGGACTCTTCTTGGGAGCTGCCCCTTCAGTGGAGACTCCTAGGGGCGGCTGCTCTCTGGCTCTTCCCTCCCCCAGGGGGATCTTTCAGGAACACCTGGATGGTCTGTTTTACTCCCACGGACTCAATCTGATTCGCCAGCCAACACTCCCATTTAGCACTTCCTGGGAAGCTGGCTGGCGGGAAGGAACCAGTCAGCTCATCACCACAGGACAGACACGATGGGCCAGCAGACAGGGCTGAGGTGGTCAGTGATGGCAGACAAGCTGAGACAGCACCATTCATTTCCAGCTCGGAAGCAATCCACACACCGCATTTTAGGCCACGTTACAGACTGAGAAAATCACCTCTGAAAGGAGATCAGAGAGGGGGAAGGAAGCGTTTGTGTGTGCGCTAAAGTACAGCCAAAATCCTACCCGGCGATGCTGATGTTACAAGCCAGCTTTCGTCCCATGAACGTAGCTAGGGAAGCGGCAGGAAGCACCGTGAGAGTACACTGGTAGATTTACTAGTGAGCAGCCTTGGTTTGAAGGTGATTTAAGAGTATTCCAAGAATTGCTGCAGCGAGGTGGAGTGTGCATTCAGTGTAAATGTTACTTTACTCAGCAGCTGTGGATGGTGTGCTCTCTTTGAGACAGGCGGAAAGTTGTTCCCAACACCTACACCCAAGGTTTCAGTGCAACAGCCCAGGGGCTTGACTCTGCCCAATGCTTTCTGAAAAGCCCTGGAAAACAGCTTCTGGTTTATGCGGAGGTGCAGGAAAGGGGAGTGGAACAGCTGCTGGACACACTTTACCCCCGTCACCCATTACACCTCAGTCACCATGTTTCCTACCTTATCTTTGATCTTGCGCCATGGAAGCTGACCAACTGCAAACTCCACTAACATGTAAAAGAGGGACCACAGGTCATCATGTCGACCCATCTCCTGGAGAAAAGGAAGACAAAGTAAAGCAAAACCAGCCAAACAGCATCTTTCCTGCTGTGTGGGAGATGGCGCACGTGCGGATGTGCAGAGCCACCACTGCGTGTCAAGGGGAGTGAACACCGCCTTGGGCATGTGTCACTTCCATTCTCAGGACACTTCCAGAAATGAGGGTAAATATTATTCAGGTTGTACAGTCAAGCGCCCAGACCTCAGGAAAGGAGGTTATCCGTGCAAGCTGAACTTGTGCCCCTTGTGCGTATGCGTGTGCGTGTAATTACACAATCACAGGCTATGTTTTCCACAGGACCCTGCTTCATTCAGAGCACAGAATGGATGATGCTCAATGCATGGGGAGCTGGTCAATACTTCTTTTTATCCCCATTCTTCAGCAGTCTGCAGGCCATTTGCGGGGGATCTGCAGAACACGATGCAGCTCCCGGCCTCGAAGCCTGATTACTAATCCCATTCCTGACACTGACTCCTTCTGTGACCTTGAGCTAGCCACTTAGCCTCTTGGGCATCCGCCTCCCAATTTGTGAGAGAGGATAACACTGATCTGCTATTTCCAGGGAGAACTGTTGGGGTTAATTAGCTGTCTGGGAAGCCCAGTGAAGATTAAAAGTGCCGTATCCGTGTTTTACCACTTACAGTAATTACACATATGCATTTCCAAATCTCCTCCTAAAAGCCAGATCACTTGGGATGCAAAAAGGCTGGAGGGAAGGATGAGATCGGGCAGAGGGGACTTCTGGCAGGAACTTTAGTTCCATAGTCTAAGCATCAGAAGAATTTTACCATACACACAGGAAACACTGCTTAAATATTTACAAATATTGGATGAGAGGGGGAAGACCAGACCTCTGGGGAGACTGGGGCGAAATAGGCCAAATATTTTGCAGAAGTAACGTCCCTCTTCGGAGGAAAAAAATCTAGGATTTGTTCTAAGTTACCCGTGTCCTGCCTTGAGCAGGGGGTGGGACTAGATGACCTCTTGAGGTCTCTTCCAACCCTAATCTTCCATGATTCTCTGTCGCCAGGGCTAGGCTGCCATGAGCCATAGCCTTCCGACGGCCAGCATGCTGCTGGAGCAGAGGGGCCCTGGGTCCATGGCCAGGAGCCGCACAGGGACATGGCTTTCAGTTTCTCTTGTATTTTGTATTTTATTTTTTCTTAATAGCAGCAGCAAATATTAGACAGGCGAGTCGAGAAAAGCCAATGACTAGCTCATATTTTTACACATCCAGTCAATAGCCTTCCACCTCCACTGGAGTCATCTGACACATCAGCTTCCTGTAAGCAACAAGCAACTCACACCAGCCGACCCCTCCCGCAGCTGCAGAACTACTCTATGTCTACACGGCAATAAAAACCCCCCCAGCATCGAGTCTCTGAGCCCGGGTCAGTTGACTCAGGTTCGCGATGCAGGGCTAAAAATAGCAGTGTGGACGGTCGGGCTCGAGCTCTGCCATACACCCCCCTCGTGGGGTTTCAAAGTCTGCACTCCAGCCTGAACCAAACGTCTACACTGCAGTTTGGAGCCCCACCGCCAGAGTCAGCTGCCTCGAGCCAGCCCTGGCCATGCCGCTGATCTTTTATTGTAGTGTAGACGTACCCTTCGTGACTGCAGGGGTGGGAAAACCCTTCTCTTTTAACCCCTAAGAAATGGAGATACTCACTCGGTTTTTGTGTGCATTCACTGAAGCATAGCGGACCGTTCCCCGAAACCCAGCAACATTGCGAGGCTGATGGGAGACAATACATAATCTCAGAAACAAAGCAGGGTGTTGGAGAAGCCAGAGTGCAGCAAACTCCTAAAGACTTCCCAGCTCTACCCCGGGGCCATACAAACCTGAGAGCTGCAGATCTCTTCTTAACAGCCTTCCCTGTGATCAAGTGGGCACATAAACAGACCACACGTGCCTTAGTCCTACACTTCCCTGAAAAACTCCTTCTGCGCTAAGGGGAAAGTGATTAGTAAAGTCGCTCCGGGCAGCAAAGCTGTCAGCATCACCCAGGTTTGTACCTTCATAACCAAATTTCATTTTGAGCAGAGAGGGAGTGCAGGAGCCCAGAAGCAATCCTTCCTTTGAGTACAAATAATGTATAATGGGGCAGTGTGGGTAAGCTAAACCCAAGGCAGTGCCCGAGGGCCAGCCCAGTGGTTTGCTATTCTGATACTGCCGTGGATAGATGCAGGTGCTGATCCTCCCCGATGCCTCCATTTCCTGAAGACAAGCAGGCCCCACTGGAACACTTGATGGGTCCACACACTAGAGCATCTGCTCTGGCCCCCACACGATGGACTGCACTGGAGCCACTAGGTCACATTTGTCACTAATATCTCAGTTCTGCCCCACTTCCAGTGCTCAAACCCACTCATTTCACTTCTCCAGGTACTTGTATGGCTCCCATCACCCTGGTATCTGAGTTCCTAGACAAGAACTTCCCAGTTCCCTACCTATTCCCCACCCTCAAGGCAGGTGCTGTCAAAAACTCTCCCCTACCTCTGAACATACCCACATGGAAGCTTACCCACATGGAAGCTACATGTTGAGAGTTAACAAGTGGAAAACCTTCTGATGTTCACCTATTTTCCCAGGCTCCTCCGAGTTCCTCTTGGAGCCTTTGTTCCCTTTTCTTTACTCTCACCCCTCAAATGCCCTTCCCCACCCAGGAGATGGACACAGCTGTCTTGAGACCAAGTCAGCACTGCTCCTTGCATCCATCACAGGAGGTTATTCCCACTGCTGACGGGGCTGGAGCGCTGCTTCCACAGATCTCCCAGGTCTGCACACCTTCACCCGTGGAAGACGTGATCATTCTGAACTAATTCCATGTAAAATAATGAAACATGGCAAGTGATTATGGGGAGCTTTTCAGATGTAAATAATAATAATAATAATATTGGGTAAGGGTGGGATTTTCAAAAGTAATGGGTGCATAGTTAGACTGGGGGGAAGTTGGCAATGGCCAAAATGGGCTCAGAGTTCAGCCCAGGGCAAGCACTTTTGAAAATCCCACCCTAAAAACTCCAGACAGACCTAGGTGCTTAGAAGTCAGAGCACTCGGCACCGCAGTGCAAGGAGATGCCAGTTCAATTCTCTCATCACGTGGGAGGCAGCAGTCGGCCCTGAGGACTCAGTTGTGTACCTCGATACAAACTTCCCTTCAGTGCTGATTGGTCTGAAGGGGATTCTATTCAGTCCTCCTGGCCAGCCTGGAGAGGGGCTAGAATTGCAGAGCTGTGAGAGAGGGGCCTAAAGCAGGGGAAGAATGTGAGAGTCCTCAAGGCTCAGGGATGGATTGGCTGACGGACAGTTCGGTAGAGTTCATACATGTCTGTGTATCCTCTGACTGCCTCCCTCTGCCTGTGGTTTGTGGTCTCAGATTATCAGCTGTTCAGCAAGGTGCAGGCATTCAAACCTTGATTTAAATAATCTGATTGAAATCAGTGTTACCAAATCTCAACCCAGCCCCGAAATCTGAACTATTGTAATTTCTGATTAAAATTTAACATGAACTGAATGATAAATGCTGGGTTTTTCCAATGTCACTGCTGGTAGGGTATTTTATTTGAATTTCACAAAACTGAGGTAGGCAAAAAACAAAATATTGAAAAATTATGACCCCGATTCTACAAACACTTAAGCGCATGAGTAATTTTACTCATGTGAATAGTACCACTGACTTCACTGGGTTTACTCCTGTGTTTAAAGTTATGCATAAGTATACGTACTTGCAGGATCAGGACCTAAGATTGTATTTTTATATTAAAATGTTCTCTTAATGCCTATTTGGATTTTTCTCACCACAAATTTACTTCAGGGTTAACGGTGAGTATCTGCCTACCTTTTCATTATCAAAGTTCAAAATGATGAATTTTTTTTATACACGTATTCACGCAAACACTGTGTTATTGAGTCATCCATACTGAATGTATAATGCAGCATTTGAAACCATAACTAAAATCCATGACCAAAAGTCACAAGTCTATTATGCCACTAAGTCCCATTGTTCCAGTTCACTGAGGGTGATTTCAAGGCTTTCAGAATTAAAGTGCTTGAGAAGGAAAACCAACCTGGACGCCCCACCTGCTCCCTGAGGTTTGTAATCCTGGAGCACACCAGCCCGAGTGATGAAAATACTCATTCAGTCCCAGCAAAAGACACTGTAGCAATTAACACCTGTGATGCTGCTTTCATGATCCAGCCTTGGTCCTCCCAGAGCATTTACTTGAGACTGCCACCAGTGAGCAGCTGTTACATTTTTCAGTATTTCATTGGAGAACATGACTTTCCGAAATGTAGATTTGGCCTGCAGTTGAATTACTGTAGATGGAACTCAACTACCAGCAGAAGCCTCTTCTACGTATTCAAGTGTTGATTCCTAAATTGTGAGTGGAAGCTGGCACACTCGGGAATATTTCATAAGCTGGAAAGTGACGTGGTGTTAAACCTGTGCTTTCATGCTTTACAAGTCATAATGCTTTCAGAATATGCATTTTGCAGTTATCTCATTGCAGTTCAGCACAAGATTTTTTTCCGTCTTCTTTCACACTTCAACAGCTTCAGCCATAGCTCATGAATCTGTTCGGAATCAAGTCCCAACAATGCTGCCTTCAATATCTGGAGCAATTCCTCAGCAAACCTCTTCAGGCCAATATTTGTCACTTTCTGGCAAACAGAGACTATATCCTGTCACTGCTCTTCACCGATTTTCATTGATTTGGGCCATTCTGAAACAAGCTTCTAGGCAATCTGCAAATGCAGATTCCACTTTTCTTCTTGAGGCATCACAAATACATGGCCATCTCTACGCTTGTCTTTGTAAAGTGGCTATTGTGCAAGAACTCATCACACAGGCCCTGCTCCTGCAATTGAATCCACGTGGCTAACCCCCTGAGCCCTACAAAAGTCAATGGGGCTCCACACTGGTACAGGAATCCAGATTCACGCATCACATCGCAGGATCAGACTGGCCTTCAATACCATGGTCCTTGCCACTCTCTCCTTCCAAGTCTTCTAGCAGGAATTGTAGAGTATGTGCAGAACAGCCAGACTTTACTCACCAAGGTCATCTTTTTCTTGTAAGGCTCCCCTTCTCCTCTTAGCCTCGTTAGCTGCATTGTTTATCACAAAATCGATCACCTGGCACTTAGTATTCTCTCTCATATTTTGATTGTATCACTAGCAATTGTGGTCAGATGTTTGAAAGAACGGGAGTAACTGGAGATGTTTAGTTTGTCACACACAAACAGTCCCTCCCTCAGTAGTTGCTGTCCCATATACAATAGGTTTGCTATGAACGTCACACCTCCCATCTGTACTCAAGACACATGCGCTCTCCAGACAGGTTGTGAAAATACACAGTTTTCTCTTCTTGAAACACTTTATTCAGGAAATGGCCACCAGTTGCAAACTCTGAAGGAAGAGTACGGTCTAGTCAAAGCCTTTCGGTGGATATACGAGGGATCAGAAGGTGGTGCTGCTGCTTGCAAAAATATCACAGGCCATTTGCTTATCAATTTTGTGTTTCAGATACAAAAGACTTCAAAAAAGGGCTAGGACTTGACTTTTTTTAAGTGTGCATTTTTTAAAGTGTGAAAAAATTCCATGTACAATCTGAAATGCTACAAACAATTAGGAAATTCTAACTGAAGACAAAAGTACAAAATATCCACTTTAGCCATTTAAAACTATCAAATGAGAAGACAGTAAAGAACTAGAAAATGGTAAATAAAAATCTGATTTAAATTTTAAAATATTTGATTCATTTTGTAAACTTTAGGATTTCTATACATTTTGTTGTTCAGGTGAAAGGATGTGTCTTTCTCCTTGCGTAGACATGCCTAGCACACTGGGGATAAGTGCCAGAGTCCAGACAATAAATAAGGCCACGTTCTAGTCACGGGTATTTTTAGTAAAAGTCATGGACAGGTTGTGGGCAGTAAACAAAAATTCACAGCCCGTGACCTGTCCATGACTTGTATTATATACCCCTGACTAAATCTTGGGGGAGGGGTGGCCCGGGGGTGCTGCTGGTGCTCTAGGGGAAGCAGCCTGGGACATCCATTGGTGCTGGGGGGGAGGGGGCCAGGACCCCCGCACATGCTGAGTGAGGGGGTTGGGGGGGGAGTTTGGTGGGCTCCCTACCCTAACCAGGCTCCGCGTGGCTACCCAGAAGCGGCAATATGGGTCCCTCCCTCAGCTTCTAGGTGGAGGCGTGGCCAGATGGCTCCGTGTGCTGCCTCCGCCCTGAGCGCCAGCTCCCCAGCTCCCATTGGCTGGGAACCGTGGCCAATGGGAGCTGTGGGGCAGTGCCTGTGGGCAAAGGCAGCATGCGGTCTCCGCCTAGGAGCTAAGGGAGGGTCATGTCGTCGCTTCCGGGGAGCCCCCTCTAGGTAAGCGCAGACCAGAGCCCTCACCCCCTCCTGTGCCCCAACTCCCAGCCCTGAGCTCCCCCACCCAAACTCCTACTGCTGCTGGGGGACGGGGGTGGCCCGAGATTGCCCCAGCAGCGGCCGGTGCGGCTGGCCCAGGAGCCAGCCACACTGGCCATTGCAGAAGTCATGGAGGTCCCGAAAGTCACGGAATCCGTGACTTCCATGACAAACTCGCAGCCTTAACAATAAAAATACAAAGCACCCCAGAGGAAATGTACAGCATGTGAAGTATGCTTTGTTTATAAGGAGCTTTATTTTGGGGAACTGTATTAGGTTCGCACCCTACAGGGGAATGATCCT